CTAACCTTTTGATTCATAAATAATTGAGCAAACGTAATTAGGTTTTGAAATAAACAAGAGTCCATTTTCCAATTGGATTTTAAACTGGGTAAGCCTCTTGTGAGGCTCTCAATTCATCGAGTCTGTTCTTACTAAACAATAGTTGCTTTGTTTAAGTTTTTATGGAGGAGAGCAATTTACAGTCTTGTTTTTGTGTAGCTAAAACAATCGCTATGACAGCTGGTTGTTAACGCTTTTTTGTCGCATATTAAGCTATTTACATCATTAGCTGCATCTGAAGGGGAACCATGTTTTTCACAGCTTCGAGAGAAAGCTGTATTTGTCTTATTTGGTCGGTATTCACAACAAAGGCAAGAGTTTTGAGGGTGTTTCAAACAGTTTTAGACTTGAACATCTGACTGACCGAACTCTAGAGTTCGTTTCCTGGACGCAAACCAATCTATACTTCCCCACCACTGTAACAGCTTCCACTGCGCAAACGTATTCAATAGACAGATAGAGGTTAGAAAATTTATTTACCACTCAGCGCCACTCGCAACAAGATGACTTCAAAACCAGAAACTGTAAAAGGGACGGCCACGACCGAAGCTACTCCTGAAGGAGAATACCGCGGATGGGCCGGGGCCGGGGCCGGGGCCGAGGCCGAGCCGACAGCTGAACCGACGGCCGAACCTCAGCCCGAATGGGATATTGCTGTGGAGACTTGGGGAGCCGCGTGGGAATTTCATCAATATGGACTCGGAGCTCTATTCGGTGTCATCAGTTTACTAGCGTTTGTGGCGCTGGTGAAATTATTTAAAATGGATAGGGGGGCTCGACAAAAGAAAGTGTCGTTCGTTGTGCTGAGTCAAATCTTCATCTTCGGTTCATCAAGATGTCTCTTTCTGTGTATTGACGCCTACCATTCAAAGAAGCATGTTTCAGCGAAAGTGACGAGTCTACTCTGGGGAATTGGACAGCCTTGTTTGATTACAGCGTTCATGCTGATTTTCTTAGTGTTGCGAAATGCTTTAGTGATGAAAAACAGATTTCAAACCTGGTATACGACAAGAAACATAACTTTGGTTACTCTTCCTTACTACATCTTCGTGTTCACATCTGAGTTGATTGTCGCGTTTATTCCAGCTTACAGCGGCTTGATACTGGCTTGCCAGGTAATAAACATACTTCTATATATCAGCCTGGCCTTCTTTTACTCATACATTTCCTTCCTTATTTGGAAAAAGCTTCACACTGTGCGAGAAGGTTCGTCGAAAACTCTAGACAGAGGAACGCAGACATTTTCTATTTTCAAACGTTGTGTAACAGCCAGTGTAGGCGGCTTTAGTATCGCCGTCATGCATCTTTACGCTGCGGTCAGCATCAGCGGCGCTTCATCCCATGCGCAATTCATTTCGCCGTGGCCTTGGTACATTTTCATGACATTAATGCGGTGTCTGGAGCTAGGAATGTCCTTACTGCTCTACACGACAACTACAAACAATAGTTCTGGTCAAAAAGCTTGTAGGAAGATAGATGAGGCACCGATGACCACAATGCAGTCAAAGACTGTCAACAACTCGGAAATAGATGACGACAAATGAGCAGAGCAAGAGCTGGATCCCAATCTTCAGTGCTCAAAAATGCTCATAGATAATAGGCCTTTTTCCAAAATGTCCAAAATGATTATCTGCACGGCAAGTTCATAGTTATAATCATAATTTATAATAATACTAGCATCAAAATAGTGTACCTTTTTTGCAATTTTTCAAACTTTCGAGAAACCTCAAGGCTGTATTATTGAACTGAGCGCGTCAAAAGCAGACGCAGTCATGTAGACCATTGGGAAGTGGCGGCCAGAAAGGCAATATTTATATTCCAATTTTAGACGTCCTTTCTAGGAGGGTTTTATTGGCCAAACCTTAAGCTGCTCCTTGCAAGTCTCCATCGATTTCTGGCACACTTGTGATCGTTTTTACATTGAATATAGGTACATAGACTGCATATTTCCAAGCCCGATTTGGAACATAGTCCAGATTAGTTAGCGCAACAAAATGCGTACCGTAATTATTTGATTTTGTACCCGGGGCGTTTAATTGCTTTTAATCGGTATCTCAGGGAGGGTGCTTATTGGAATCAAGGTGCCTATTAGGGACAAGACACTTATTCCTTTTTTGAGAAACAGCAGAATGTGACGGAAACAAAGCTTTGATATTTATTTGAAAAGGATCAGAAAGACTGAAAAACGGACTTGTTGTCCCTCGTCGCAAAATTTTGAGACAGAATCTTTCATTTCAAGAAACTGTAAGACCACTGCTCTTGTCGTGAGGCTTTAAGTGAGCAATTAAGGAAAGATGAACCTCGGTTGATCTCAATGTAAATGTACCCTAAAAGTGCTATTACTGAAACTGAGTAGGGGCGTTCATTAGGATAGGGGCGCTTATTCGAATAAGTGCACTTATTTATAAAAACAGTATAGAGGGGGGCCGCTTATTGTAAGAAGGGTGCTAAATCAAATCATTATGGTACTTAAATTTCCAAGTATCGACACTAGATATAGTATACCTTTCATACTGGTGTACAAAGATACAAACAAAGATTTTGAGTTTTGAAAACTACAGTTATAGCATTTTCTCCTCTGACCTGCGTTAATAATAACCAAATTAGAAATGATTCGTGTGGTCTGATCGTCTAGGAGAGAGTAGTCTTGACAGGGACTGTTGTCGGTGGTAGACTGACGTTTCGACCACCTTACCAAACGTCATCACGATAATCATAATCGAGTGAATGCGACCGTTTTTGCTTTAACTGCTAGTGATGATCAAAATGTAAAGTAACTGTTAATAGAGTTGCCAAAAACACTAACGTTGACTTATAATTTAAATTTTATTATTATATTATTCTTGCATTTTTTCTCTGACGAATAAAAGAAGGTGGGAGCAACATTTTTCGCTTGGTTCACTTCTTGACCAGCTTTGTTTTTTTTAATTTTTCTCCTAAGGTTTTGCGGTTGTCCTCCTCTGTCTAAGAGGAAAATTTTGGAACCAGGAGTGGGAGAGTGGAAAAAAAATCACATTAGTAATGCATGGCTTTGTTTGGTTCATCATAATAACTGATTTGACCTGTTTTTTCAAACCCGGCCTGGGACAAACTCTATGATTCCCGGTGACGTCACACCCTGATGGTTATTCTTTCCCTTACACTGAACAAATGCTAAATTATCAGTCTAAAGCTGGAAATCTTATTATGATTGTTTGTTTAAAACCAAGACGAAAATTTTACTCAGTTGTCAAGTCTCAGGGCCTCAACAAAGCATTAACGACGGCCTTTACATTAAGGCTCTTCAAGTCGCTGTAAGTCTGCCCAGTGCCCACGAACACAATCGGCTGGCCAGTGGTGTACGTCATGGAGATAGCAGCACCAACCTTACAAAAGTGATAAAAGTAGCGATGGTCAAACACCAAAGGAGGCGTGAAACGCCAAGTGAGTTACTAAAGGCAGCTTTTAGCAGATTAAAAGGTTTGACAAGTGGTAAACTGCCTTGGGTTTTTATGGATCAAATTTCGATTGACCAACGTAAAACTAAAGTCACAGAAAAGCTAAAAGGCAAATCAGAACAAAAGAAAATATCACAAGTGGTCTAGACTTTCGCCGTTTTCTCAAATTCGGTGTTCCATCCTTCTCTCTGCGGGGATGGAGCGCGGACTCGTTTGCTATACAACGGCTGGAAAGGAAGCTTAAATCAAAAGGAGCTAACACTAAAAACAACCAGAGTGCCTGACACGTGGAAAATGCTTATGACTTTGGTTTTCGACACCAATCACAGACCAAAACAAAGCAAAATCAATTATTTAGCTTTTAATTGAAAATTTCTCTGTAGCATGTCAAAATACCTTATCATCGATAGTGTCAAACTTGGTGAGGACAATACCATCGATCAGACGGGGGTTATCAGACATTGAAAAATCCGCCAGAGCCTGGTTAAACTTCTTTAACTGGTCTACGGCTTCATTCCCTACCAGGGCCTCTCCGACAAACAGCACCAGGTCGGGACAGTTGAGTTTGATCAACTGAAACAACAACAAAAAAAAAACAAACAAACAAAAAATATAAATATATATCAAATTGTTCTTGGTCACTGTCAAGCAGCACTTCTTGAAGTAAACAATTCTAAGACGCGTTTCAAGTTATTCTCGTAACCGTCTATAAGGAGTTTTACAACAGTACTAAAACCCCAAACTATGAAAGGCTAGCGGGTAATTATGAGGAAGTGAAATCGTTCGGGGTCTGCTCGGCGTGAAAAGGTTTTATGGCCATGCACAAGCACACGGAAATACAATATGAAAAGGTAGCGAAAAAAAATCAGTCCAGGATCATGGTATCCGCAGAAATGTAAAGTTATCATCATTTTTAAAATTTATGGCTCCTCTCTTGACGAAGTGAAGGGCCAGATACACCCATGGTCCCCCCACCTTATCTTTCGATAGTGTATCATTCTGGACGACATACTTGTGCAAAATTACTTCACTCTTCTTACATTTGCTGTCATTTATCCGTTGTCCATTAAATAGAAAAGCAAACATGGAAGAAAAAAAACAAGGACAAACGCTGCGTACTTTAGACAAGGCTCGCATCAAAGGCTCGTTGTCCTGCATTCTTCCGGCGGTGTCAACCAATACAACATCAACGCGCTGTTCCCTGGCTAAAGAACGAACAGATATCAATGTCAATCAGCATAAAAGGAAATTTCACATGAGCCAATGAGAACTCAAAAAAGCAAAAAGCAAACTGCGTAAGGCGCGGGAAAACGAAAGTGAAGAAGTCAAGACCGGTTTTAGTTTTGTGTCTGATTGCTTGATGGGTTGGCGCCTCTTTTTTTTTTGACCAATCACAGTACACAGTGAAGCCAGACCAACGTCACTTTGGAGATACCACGCAACATATTCGCTGTGTGCTGCTACTCCTAACGAACCGATGAGGTCCACTACTAAGGAGTAACAAACGACTATGGTTCATCAGTCTACGTATGTCATAAGCACGCAGAGCGTACAGAGTGAGACGTGGCGGTGGATCTTTCGACACGTTAATAATTACCTCAATAACAACTAATGTCAAACTACTGTGTCATATTCCAACTACATAAAAAAAACATTTCCCACCTTATTCCATAACAAAATAAAGACAAGGCTTAAAAATTTATTATGCGAGCGCCTACAACTGTTGAGTCAAGCTTACCAAAATTGATAGCGTCCATGGCAATAGAAGCAGCATCTTTACCGTAGCCTTTCTCATACAGCAGAACAGATGGAGGTCCACCGCCACTTGCTGGGGGATGAAGAGCGTTAAGGTGACGGACATGAGTCCTGAGCTGCTCGACGGCTCCAGCACGGAATGTGTCACATGCAGCAATCATCACACGGAAACCATTGTCAAGCAGCCAAAAGCAGATCTGCAAACACAAATTGAAAAAAAAAAAAAGGAGAAAAAAAGGCTGCGTTTAGCGATTTGTTTTCCCCCATCCTCCACAATAGCGCTTTTTCGCAAATGGCGGGTTGGAAAACATTTTAATATTTTTCTCTTTAAACATTTGCGTCCGTCAAATTTCAATGAAGTTTTGAACATTTCTTTTAACGAGAGATGTTTTTTCTTCTTGTCGCGTGCGTGCAACAAAGGAATCTAGCTCTGAATCCTCGAGAAGAATCGAACCTCAGACCTTAGAGTTTCGCGCTTCGATGCTCTACCACTGAGGAACAGAGACTTTACGGTGAGCCAGGCCATCACCACGTTTCTCTGTGAAACGCGTCCTGAAAACTGCAAGGGTCAACAGTGTCGAAAGCGTTATGCACGTAAACGGAATAAGAACGATGGTGAATTTTTCGCTCGGCAATAAACTAGACAAAGACGTCTTTTTCGTCTCGTCAGGAGCGTGGGAGGTAGAGATTCCTTTACGAAAACGAAAAACCTACTAAAATTTCCCTCGCTCACGGCAAAGGGCTTCGTAGCTCTGTTGGTAGTAACGCCCAGTTGCTATCTGGAAGTTGGAATCCCGTCGAAGCCCGAACTGTTTTTTTTCTTTTGCATGAAAAGTACTTAGTTGGATTTCAAGTCTTTTCCAACCGCTTGACAAGGATATAGGACACGTTTCTTCACAATGTGCACCATGTTTTACCTTGGCCAAATTGGTTGATTTTCCAACACCATTTACACCACAGAAGGTGATAGAAAAAGGTTTTCCACGTTTCTTAGCATCCATTGCATCACGTAGGATGTCAATTCTTCTTCGTGGCGACAAAATCTGGACCAAAGATTCTTCCAAGCTTGCTTTCACTGTCGATGTTACGCCTTTCAAGAGAGAATGTAACATGATAAGTAACAAACATATCAACTGAGGTAAAACTGTTCCACACTTCAGCGGACAGAAATTTCATGTTCGTCTTCATAGACTTGGCACCTTTTAACTTTTCCGAACTACAAAGCGGGTGCTTAAAATAATTAACATTGTACTGAATTAGGTCCTGGTGAAGTATTACAAGAAAATTCACAAGTACTGGCAAGTATTGGCAAGTACTGGGAGGGGGAAGGGGGGCGGAATTTGCTATGGAGTGACATCCCATTATGAAGAAACAGATATACCGCTAGTTCCTCCCCTTGAGTTTTGAAGCTTAACTTACATTTTGTCTCTTAGAAAAGCTAGGGTGAATGTTATCAATACATGCTCTTACCACTGAATGTTCCCAGCACTTTGCCTTCCAGTTTGGTAGCCACTGAATCACATAACTTCTCAGAAATATCAGCTGCGACATTCTTGGCTGTGAGTGTGAAGGCAAGACAAACAGATGGAATTTTAACCTGAGAGTGAAGAGCATCTAATTTCTCCCTAAAATACCACCCCTGAATCACATATTAAGATCAGGAGAATAAAGGAAATAATCACCAACTAAAAAAGCTCTTGATTGTTCAACAAATTCTCCTTGTCAGCACCTTAGGAGATGTATACAGAACAGTATGGAGAATATGCATACTGACGTTAGGGTGTAAAGGGCTAAGACTGGTGCTGGTTCCCTCTAATACCACTTAAATGTACAAATGCTTGGTAAATCTATCTCAAAGAAAACATTTCATGCTCCTTCATTTTGGACTAAAAGGAAATCATTTTGTTGATAAACAAGTCATTACCAATTAGATGCTCTTTCATCTTGTCCAAAACAGGATTGATGTCATCAAGAGTAAGTGTCTTTTGCCCAGCCAAGCCTTTGAAGAAAGAGAAGAGTCCTCCACCAAGACCAGAGGACTTGCTGTAATAGAAATTAATAAGTTAACCCATCACAGATGAGACAATTCCAAAATTCTGATTAATAGCCATGATAGTATTGAAAAAAAAAGCTGTTCTTGTTCTGTAATTGTAAGTCTGTAGAGTAACATTTGTAGGAAGAGGAATCAAAGGGAAAAAAACTATGTGCAGTGTGAGATTGAGTTTCTTTTTCTTGTTATTTTTTTGGCCTGTTTCTCAGTTAGATTAATTTAAACATGGTGCTGAAGAGTATAATTACCTCTGCCCTTC